CTCTTCCTAGAACGCCTCTCGTACTTCTTAAGGTTACTGTAGACCTTCAAAGGCCGAATTTTGCAATTTTTTTTCTGTGCTCCTGATATAGCTAAAACATCGATTTAAAGTTTGGTGAAAAAAGTTATTTAAAATCATTCAATGATCGCGAGATTTCAGGGAAACACTATTTTGGAGAAGAGTTAATAAATAACTAAAGGCGTTGCAATCCCATTTTAAGAACACATCTAGCGCCTATGGATTTTTCGCGGCAAATCTTATCCGGGACTTACCCTTTTCCGGGACTTAAATTACAAACATTTGCATATTTTGTTTACCTTGAAAGTTGTGCTGTGTCGCGTCGTTTAGGCCGTTGGTATCAGTGAATTTTTTAATGTAGAATCCGTGAAAACTTACATTATGAATTCATCGAAAAGAGAGAAGACGCCTTGGACAAAATCTCGTGAGAAATCCGGGCCGAAGAAAAAGGAGAAAGGCGAACATTTCGACGGTGTTCGACTTCGACTGCAAAACTTCCCGCGAATTCAATGGGCTGTTTTTGTTGCGGGCGCTGGCGGGGTCCGAAGCTCGTGTTTCACTGGTCGGCGGCATGACCCAGTTGACAGCCGCTTTGATGAGGTGTGATGAGCTTTCAAAACTTTAGGAGTCTAAAACTCGAGCTTTATTTTTTCGTGGATTTCCTTACTTCAAGCGAATTAATAGGGTATATAGATTTGACGGATTCCCATGAAATTTGACCAAAATGTTCCTTGGTTATCAAAGCAAAAAAGGGTGTGAGGCTTTTTTGATATTCCAAATACTTCTCCTTTTACGCGCTCTCATGTGACGAAGATCGGCAAACATTCAATTCGCCAACTTCAAAATAGATTTTCTCGGCAACCAATCGGAATATCGAAAAAGCCTCACACCCTTGTGTAGTCTATCACCTACTGATTGACATTGTGCAGTTTGTTTGGTCGTACTTGCGAGCAGGAAGGCAGGTAATTCAGTTTAACAAATAGTGTCAGTTTTGCGTTTGAAGGCTTTCGCGCGCTTACCATTAAATCAAATCTTAAAAAAAATTATTTCGTCTGATTCTACATTTTATTAGCTTTACGATGATATATACTTTTCTATGGTTATAATATAAGCGGCGCGCATACAAATGATTCTTCGNTGGCCTCAAACTTTATGCCGTTCTAATTAAACTTACATATACTTGTTTTGGCCGCGTCTCTTTCTAGAATGCCTCTCGTACTTCGTAAGGTACTGTAGACCTTCAAAGGTCGAATTTTGCGAATTTTTTTTTTCTGTGCTCCTGATATAGCTAAAACATCGATTTAAAGTTTGGTGAAAAGAGTTATTTAAAATCATTCAATGATCGCGAGATTTCGGGGAAACACTATTTTGGAGAAGAGTTAATAAATAACTAAGGGCGTTGCAAACCCGTTAAACACATCTAGCGCCTATGGATTTTTCGCGGCAAATCTTATCCGGGACTTATCCTTTTCCGGGACTTAAATTACAAACATTTGCATATTTTGTTTACCTTGAAAGTTGTGCTGTGTCGCGTCGTTTAGGCCGTTGGTATAAGTGAATTTTTTAATGCAGAATCCGTGAAAACTTACATTATGAATTCAGCGACAAGAGAGAAGACGCCTTGGACAAAATCTCGTGAGAAACCCAGACCGAAGAAAAAGGAGAAAGGCGAACATTTCGACGGTGTTCGACGTCGACTGCAAAACTTCCCGCGAATTCAATGGGCTATTTTTGTCGCGGGCGCTCGCGGGGTCCGAAGCTTGTGTTTCACTGGTCGGCGGCATGACCCAGTTGACAGCCGCTTTAATGAGGTGTGATGCGCTTTCAAAACTTTAGGGGTCTAAAACTCGAGCTTTATTTTTGCGTGGATTTCCTTACTTCAAGCGAATTAATAGGGTATATAGATTTGACGGATTCCCATGAAATTTGACCAAAATGTTCCTTGGTTATCAAAGCAAAAAAGGGTGTGAGGCTTTTTTGATATTCCAAATACTTCTCCTTTTACGCGCTCTCATGTGACGAAGATCGGCAAACATTCAATTCGCCAACTTCAAAATAGATTTTCTCGGCAACCAATCGGAATATCGAAAAAGCCTCACACCCTTGTGTAGTCTATCACCTACTGATTGACATTGTGCAGTTTGTTTGGTCGTACTTGCGAGCAGGAAGGCAGGTAATTCAGTTTAACAAATAGTGTCAGTTTTGCGTTTGAAGGCTTTCGCGCGCTTACCATTAAATCAAATCTTAAAAAAAATTATTTCGTCTGATTCTACATTTTATTAGCTTTACGATGATATANAAAAACTAAGCTAAGAGTTTTTGGACAAAAAATATTTTCTAACAGCAGATTTAAAGGAGCCAATGGAGTCCTTCTTGCGAATGTCTAAAGGAATGCTGTTCCATAGTTTTGCTCCATTGGCTTGGAAAGTTCGCCCCCCTTCCGTTTCTCTGTCATAGGAGGGGCACACTAAGTTATATTTTCCATAGCGATTGGTTCTAGTGTGTCGGTCTGAGTTTCTCGTTAAAAGTTCTGTTATATAGCTTTTGTTACTTCGTCCTTCTTGCGGAAACGTGAATTCTCCTTTCAGCATCAGAATGTGCGGGAAGTTCTTAAATGTTACAGCAATGAAAGAATAAGGTAGGAAAGGGGGAGGGTGATATCATGAATTATGGGATTCTACTAGCTGGTTTAACAAAGTCTTAACGAGTATTTTCCCCAGTACAGATATCAGTTGTAACGAAGCGCACGAAGTCTAAAAATAGAATGCAAATTATTGGAACCCCGCGAGAGTCAGACAAATAGGAGTAAAATGAACGCCAAATTTTAGTTTAAAAATAGTTTTAGGAACACTTGCTAACGCGCTTGAAAAGGCGTCAAATCTTCCACCTTTCCGTTTGTTTGTCTGAGTTTGTCTGAGTTATGACGTCACTCGCGCGCTTCGCTATTGCGTTTAACCTCGATTCTTAGCCTGAGGGACTGTTTTTATTGAGGCCGATTGATGATTAATTTGACATTACACAAGATGAATTGCCCTTTGAAAAAATGCACGAATGAAATATGATTAACAAAAATGTTCTGGCAAGGCTTGAGGATTTTGCCTCTGCCATGAATCCTGCAGAGGAATTTTGTATGGGTTTGGGGAAGAGAGAGAGAGAGAGGGGGGGGGGGGGGGGGGGGAAGGAGGGAGGAGGCTATGGTGCTAAGAGTATGACAACTGACAACCGTGCGGAGGATCTTGCCTATTTATTAATTATCTACGCTATGAACAAACTCCATTGACAGTCTTCTATCAGTTTGTATTTTTTTTTCTTTTTTTAGTCTATTAGCCTTCTGATAAAAATTCGTTTCCCGTCAGCGAGTACCTATAGCCGTGTTTAGACTTGAGCGTTTTTCCGAGGTGTTAGAGTTTACATATACCTGGGTAAATATTTTACGCGTGTAAACGCCAACTGATACCATGATAAACGTCGCCCAAGACAATAGAAAGTAAACCAAGGTAAAAGTTCGATTAGCCCTGTGATCAGGCCTAGGCTTGGTTTAGGTCGGTAACCAAGGTCAAAATGACAGTTACATCCGCTTGTGGTCGCATAGTATTCCACATCCCGTGGTGTTCAGATTGCTTCAATCGCATTCGATCACGTTTTCGCGCTCACGACTAAGTTTGTCTTCGACTGATCTACGAACATTATCCTTCTCTGCCCAATCCGGAAGATCCACTCGGACAATATATTGTAGTATAAATACTGTGCAGTTTCATCAAGGTTTAGTCATGCAGTAAATGTTTACGTACCTTGGTAAACATTCAAGTGTAAACGCAGCGTATGACACAAACATATATATGGTCACTCCTAAGTTATACCTGGAAAATTATAAATGGTCATCCCTAAGTTATGCTCTCTCGTTAAAAAAAAAAAAAAACAAAAAAAACATTCTCTCAAAAAATTATCATATGTTATAACTTTTTCACCAATGTCAGCTAGCACCTATCCGTTTAACTGGAGAATCCTTACCTACAGGTAAGGCAAAGACTATTTCGATTCCCGTGATACTCACGGGAAGATTGAGAAATAAAACACCTGTTGTAAACACAAAATGGCCGTGGCATTTATCAAACCTTCCTTGGATCCCCGGATCACTCTTTACTGTTCATACATGTATAAGTGCCGAGAGTTTTCCAAAAGAGTGCTTCTACAAACCTTTCAAGAAGACTCTACATGATAAAACCGGCTTCGAGGAAAACAATGGTCAGAGAACATCGAAGTATGTGATCGTCACGCTCGACACAGCTGAGGTACGTTTAAATGTACCTTGTATACAAATCTACGGCTGGAAGGAATAGCTGGCAGTTTTAATGCTACCTAGGTTTCAAGGATCGCTAAAAAAGGACCAAAACTTTAATATTGAAGCCAGGTAGGATATTTATGTGAATTTATCAGAGCACTTTACAAAGGCGAGTATCTTACAGTTACTCACTGGGTATATTTTCAAAATTTCCTGAACTTTAAGCGGCTAGGTTATCTTTGAAAACCTTGCGGACAGACAAATTTTGTTATTTTTTTTAAAGTAAGGGCCATTTCAGTACTTTCTATTCGTGTAGTTCAGCAGTTTCAAACAGATACCACATTTTTGAAACGTGCCTTTAAAGTAGAGCTATTTTCGTGTTTGGTTGAAAACTCGATTAAGCGGGTAGCAAATCTCCTTTTAACCGTTGAAGGAACAACATTGAATTATAATTGCAACATGGCTAAACAAACTGTTATAAAATATCTATAGTTGAAAAAAAGAACTGGGACTTTTGAGCGAATATTATTATTTTTTTAGAGCGGCGGCAATATGTGCTATTTTTCCAGTTTCAGCGGACACGCAACTTGTGTCGAGCGGACCGAAATTCAATTAATCCTAGAAAAATTCAATCAGAATTTTTAATTAAATAAAACTCGCTTTAGTGATTGACTAGGTAAGGACTTCGAAATTCCAGCTTATGAGAAAAATAAAATTTTCAAAGTAAAATCAGTGGTCGGTTTTTACAGAGACAGCCTCTTAAGTTTGCTAAGCAAAAAAGACAGCTGCTACTCGACAATTATTTCCCAACGGAATACAGACCGCCAATAAACAAAATTCGCAATTAACTTTAGGCCGGTAGTGAAAACAAATTTCGTGTGATTACTTTAACACAAATATTTCAACTCTTAAACAAGGCCATTCATAATATGTCACGGGATAAAATCTAACGAATCTTGCTGTGATGTTAGGACTGAGTGAACGCTTCACAACACTGGTTTGATCTGTATTTCCTGCGAACACCTGAAAATGAAAAAGAAGTAGAAGAACACTTTGCGCTACTTGCTTATTAATGAAAACCTTCTGAAAATAAAATTCTAGAGCAAAAATAAGGGCTGCAAATCTGCTAGCATAACCTGCGAGCAGGCTCTTGATTCCCCCAGTACTGAGTAATAGGGCTGAAAAAGAAACCGGCGAGTGTATCTAACTGGTCTCGCCTATCTCGCTTCTAGAGATATCGCTCGCCGAATTTTATTCCATTTTGTTTTTTCCTTTGGTTTGGTTTCTTTTCTTTTCTTTTCTTTTTCTTTTTTTCTTTCTTTCTCTCTTTTTTTTTTTTCCTTCACNGGGGAGGATGGGGAGCAAGCTTTGACTAACGTGGCAGGGTTTTTAGTTTCACTATTTTTCAAGAGTTCGTTTATATATATTTTCTAAATTGTTTTCTCTTCGAAACTTAATTCTTTATAGACACCAGGCCTGTAACAAGAGTTTTTAGATCTCCATACATTTTTCGGTAATTATTTCGGTATGTACAATTTGTGCTGGATACTAAGATAACTTAATGATTTCTCAAAAGACCGCCACTCCTAGGCAAGAGTATATTATCTAGTCACCTTTTCAACATTGTTTTCCCTGTAGCTGTTCCACGTTACTCCATCTGTAGAAAGTTGCAGTTTGTAGCTAGTGGTCCAGTCATGCTGTACTTTTTCTCCTTGTGTCGCCACTGCACAAACAGAATGCACAGCACCCATATCAACTTGAATATAGTCTGTTCTATCTTCTTTTTTCTTTGCACACCAAGCTCCGTCTCCCCTGTTCTCATTCAGCCGGCCATAGTATGGATAATAATCAATATTGAAGTATGTGCTTGCCGTCATTCTAGCATCTGGTATTTTGTTACTGTCCTCTACACCGACAGGTCCACACACTGAACCACAAACAAAAAAACAAACAAACAATCAACAAACAAACAACAATACAAAAGCAAACAGGTTCAACGGTGGAGAGATAATCGAGGTCCGCTTGTCATGTTCTCCTTTCCGATAAATAGGAGAAGAAACCGAAGCGGCGATCTCAGACTATTTGATATAAATAAGTAACGCTATTTGTGCCATTCACATCCGTATCAATTTAACAGAGAAAGTTTCTCTTTTCTACGGAAAAAAAAAAAAATGCTTTGAAAACCTTTCGTAATGAGAAACTAAAAACGGGTCTCATACTCAGATAGTAAACCAGGATTAAAATCTATTTTAAGGTCATTTTACCCAACAGAGGCAATTAATAGCAACAAAACGCAAGATAGATATATGCTCAAAACAACACAAAACGAATATGAAAGATGATTGTCAGTAACCTTCTAAGTTCATGTCGCAATGAACCAAAACTGCCGTTCCATTTCTGGTTGGATCAAGCCAGTACTTGCTGCTAGTAGTGTCTTTGCCTTCGCTCGACTTAATTTCCTGACACGAACGCGCTGGGAGCTCTGGAATAGAACCCAGAGGCACTTGAATCAAGAAAAGAAATAACATATTACAAAATGTACCAAGCATAGTGTGGGTTCTATTATGATAATAAACTTTGTTTATGTCGAACGAGGATCTACGCGGCCCGCGTAAATTTTCTTCTAAAAAAACGTATAAATTCTAGTTACCATTGAACCAAGGAAGGCAACCGCAAAGTGAATTTTGTGTTCTTACTTTTGGAGTCATTTTAACCCCTACTAATGAGTTGGAAAGCTATCATTTTAAGGACGTCATGACTTGACGATTTCAACGTAAAGTCAAGGGCGCTGGACTTCCGTTTGACGTCCACCTTTTAAAAACGTCTATGCTAAAGCTTCTTTGCAGCTTTGTACATACCCCGATTGCTCAAGCGTCGTAAGTAAACACGTGCCGGGTCTGAGCGGAAATGTTCAGGTCTTGCCTCCTTGGTGCGGTTATTCAGTTCGCACGAATTTTCCCTTACGACGTAGTTATAGCTTTGACAGGTGAGTTCTCTTTCACACCTGATATCACACTCATGAAAGGCTCTTAAGGAGAAAGTTTTGAAGACGAATCCCTGTAGAGCCATCCCACTTATGCTCCGTTCCTCTCTGCATTGGTTACTAGCAGATAGGCAGTCCAAATAGAAGCCGGCGAAGAAGAAGAAACGTGGAACAGTCCACAGCATTTCCCTGGTCTATCAGTTTTTAACTCTAGGAGAGACTAATCCAAATATAAAACAATTAATATTAGTAAGGCATTTACAAAACTTGATGCATGGCTCAATTTGCAGAGCTTTAGGAGCCGAAAACTAAAGCTTTCTTTTTTTGGAAAATTCTCTTGTTTCAGGCGAATTCATAGGGTTCGTAGATTGAACCGATTTTTACGAACCTGAGCCAAAATGTTGCCCGATCACCGTTGCGAAGTGTATTAGCATTTTGCGAGATTTTGAATAACTCTTTACTTAGGCCCTTTCATTCGATGAAGATGCTTGACACACGTTTGTAATCTGTCATCAGGTAATTAACATAGTGCATTTTGTTTGGTTTTACGCGCGAAGAAGACGGCAGGTAATTCACTTCAACAAACATTGTCAGTTTTGCGTTTGAAGGCTTGCCTTCGCATAGATCAAATCTGTAAAATAATTATTTCTTTTGATTGTACATTTTATTAGCTTTACGTTTTTTGTATTATTATCATTATTATTACTATTATTATTATTATTATTATTTTAACTTAAGCTTTCTTTTTTCTTTAACATTGATGGAAGTGAATTTAACTGGAGCATGTAATATTTTTAGCTTTTAGGTCGCATTTATTACTATCATCATCATCATCATTATTATTATTATTTATTATTATTAGTAGTAGTATTATTATCATCATAATTATTATACATTGTATCTATTTTTTTCATAATTTTCTATGGTTCTGTCGAGCTACACGAGCATGAAAGATTCTCTGAAAGACACTGCTGAAGGTACACGATGGCCTTAACATCAGTTTCGGTCGATGAATTAAACACTTAGGATACATATTGGAAAAATTGCAAAGGAAGTTTTCTTTATTTTTTCATCCCTAAGCTTTGCTTTTGGCGTCAGGAAAACTAATTATATTGTAACATATTTAAGCTTTGAACTTATAGGAGAGTAATCATAGATTGGAACCTTAAGTTTTCGTCTGATTTTCTTCACCGTTACATACGTTGTTAGTCTTATTTTTTTAACACTTGCATGGTCAAGTGTCTTTGAAATCAAATTTTTCATGCGATTTTTTTTTTTCTCGTTTTAGATCATTATCACTGATAGTGACGTAGTGAAACAACTGAGTAGAATTATTCACCTTTCTGATTGGCTTTAAAGTTTTTCTTCATACTTTTTTGAAATTTGTCGTTATTCGATTAGTTTTCTTAACGTTAAGGCTGTTTATAAGGAGAGGAAGATTCTGGCAATTAAGGTAAGGTAAAGTCTGCATGCGAGCCAAGTGG